AGGGGTCCCTGTGGAGGGTGCGGGGTCTGCGGCGCAGTGGGGGACTCCTGTAGCCGGGCTCCTAGAGCGGCCACCGGCGGACAGCCCCTTGCGCCTTCGACCCCGGATCTCCGGCTGACCTCAGCCCAGAGATCTTCCGACCTAGGATGGCCCCGGGCGGGTCATCTAAGATTCTCTGACGCCAAAGCTTAAAAGCTTATGCAAAAGACTTTGGCGGGAACATAAACATATTTCAGCGTTTGATCGAGTGAAAATCTGGAAACAACCCAAGTGTCTGGTGAAAGATTTGCTAAACAAATCACACTTCAGAAAGAGAACGGGCTCCTGGAAGGTTATTAGTAATTCTGCTGCAGAAGAATGTATATCGGCCTGACCCTGTCATGATACATTGTACAATAAAAAAGGGGTGTTACAAGACAGTTTGAGTGAGATGAGCCGACTTGAAAGGTACAAGCATAGAATGATATAGGCCACGTTGTTAAACTCTGCTTGAACGTAGGCATAGAATTATTATTCTACTTCATTATTTTTATTAGGCGTTTTAATTTCCTTCTTTTTACTTACCACGTTTTTTATTTTTTATAAAAAGAAGAGTCTATATTTCTATTTTTAAGGTTCTTTTCAAGGAATGGGAAGAGAAAACAACAGGGTTGTAGGAAGCAGTCCTGACTGACCAAGTACAGATGACCTTTGAACAAAAGGGGGTAAATTACAGGGTCTAAAGGCACCTGAGTGGCTAGGTCAGTTGAGCAGCGAACTCTTGATTTCGGCCCAGGTCATGATTCCGGGGTGGTGGGATGTAGCCCAGCATGGGCTCCAAGGTGAGCATAAAGCCTGCTTAAGATTTTCTCTCTCCCCCGTCCTCCTTCCCCACTCACGTGTGCTCTCTCTCTTCTCTCTCTCTCTCTCTCCAATAAAGAAACAAATAAATAACTATACAAGTCCATTTATACCTGGATTTTAAAAAAGCAAATACAGTACCTTAAATATATTTTCTCTTCCATATGATTTTCTTAATAATACTTCTAAGGGGCGCCTGTGTGGCGCAGTCGGTTAAGCGTCCGACTTCAGCCAGGTCACGATCTCGCGGTCCGTGAGTTCGAGCCCCGCGTCAGGCTCTGGGCTGATGGCTCGGAGCCTGGAGCCTGTTTCCGATTCTGTGTCTCCCTCTCTCTCTGCCCCTCCCCCGTTCATGCTCTGTCTCTCTCTGTCCCAAAAATAAATAAAATAAATAAAAAAACGTTGAAAAAAAATTTTAAATAATACTTCTAAGAATACAATATAAAATACAAATAACATATAAAATATATGTTAATTAGCTATGTCATCAGGAAGGCTTCTGGCCAACAGTAGCTTATTAGTAGTTAAGATTTGGGGAAGTTGAAGTGATGGGGTTCTTGAGCAAACAGCCAAGAAAGAATTCTTGAGACGTCTTTGGTGCAAAAAGGTGGTTTTATTAAAGCACAGGACAGGACCCATGGACAGAAAGCTGCACTGGGGTTGTGAGGAGTGACTGATTATATACTTTTAAGTGAGGGTTAGGGATAGCGTAAGACTGTACGGAATTTGGAAGCAAGGCTTTCGGGACCTTGAGGGGCGAGCTGCTGTTAAGATGAGGTTACTTTTAGTCTTTGATAAAACAAGAACATTGAGGAAGTAAGGCAGCCATGAGTTCCTCGAGGAAGGTGACGCTCCGTGTATTTCAGGTGTCTGTCATTGGGCTGCAAGCTGTAAGGAGATTTAATTTATGCTACATTTCTCTTGCCTTTGTTTCCCTCATCAAAAGCTCATACATGGATTTTCAACTGCATGTGGCTGGTGTCCCTAACCCCACGTGTTCAAGAGTCAACTGTATAGTGAGGCTGGAGCATCCCTGATATGGGTGAACACAGGGGGAATTAGGGATTTGCTACAGCATACCCTCGCATTTACAGTGAAATCTTGCTGTTAGTGCAATCTTAGTCTTTTTCTCTAGGACCCACTAGATGCTCAATGAAAATATTCCTGATTGCTCTCCAATGAATTAAAAAGTCAATGGAGGGCGCCTGGGTGGCTCAGTCGGTTGAGCTTCCGACTTCGGCTCAGGTCATGATCTCACAGTCTGTGAGTTCAAGCCCCGCGTCGGGCTCTGTGCTGACAGCTCAGAGCCTGGAGCCTGCTTCGGATTCTGTGTCTCCCTCTCTCTGACCCTCCCTGTTCATGCTCTGTCTCTCTCTGTCTCAAAAATAAATAAACATTAAAAAAAATTATTTTTAATTTTAAAAAAGTCAGTGGAACCTAAAATGTAAATCTACATTATTGAATTAAATTCAAATGTAATTCAACAAATTACACGATCCTAATTCACTAAAAAACATCACTTTTTTTGGTTGCCATTTGCTGAACACTCAGTATGTCCCAAGGAAGATATTATTATATGAGCCTCCCACTCCCACACCCGAACTAAGACTATGTTCCCTTGTTACTGATCAGGAAATAGGTCCAGTGAATATTAAAACGCCTTCCAGAGGCCCTGCACCAATAACAGACAAGGAAACTTCTGTTCTTAACTTCAGCACATAACTATTTCTAAGCTCTCTAAATCGGGACAAACACTTCATAAGCTGCACTTTTTTTTTTTTTTTCAACGTTTATTTATTTTTGGGACAGAGAGAGACAGAGCATGAACGGGGGAGGGGCAGAGAGAGAGGGAGACACAGCATCGGAAACAGGCTCCAGGCTCCGAGCCGTCAGCCCAGAGCCCGACGCGGGGCTCGAACTCACGGACTGCGAGATCGTGACCTGGTTGAAGTCGGACGCTTGACCGACTGCGCCACCCAGGCGCCCCAATAAGCTGCACTTTTAATAGAGGTTTGATCTCCCAACAAAAGATAGTGCCAAAATGTGGCTGACCTGTGCCCGTTGTAAGTAAGGACCGCCTCTCTTCCATGCTTTCTGATGTAGATGAAATCATGAGCACATAACACATTCCAAAGAACACTGCTCCTTCCAGATTTTCTGTTCTCTCCAAGACACAGGCTACCTGGGGTGGACTCTCAGTTCAATTACTTGACAACTATATGAACTCGGCCAAATTATTGGTCACCTGCACGTTCTTTCCATCTTTGGTAATATGGAGATAATAACAGAGCCCTTCGTGGGATTGAGATAATTAGTCAATATTCAAAAAGTGCTATCTTCATCATCATCATTTTGTTTCTTATGTATACCATTTGTTTTTATCACATTTAAAATCTGGCAAGGTAGTTTCCTCCATATTTCTTTTGCTTTTTAGAAAATCTCTGGTGGGGCACCTCACCAGCTCAGTTGGAGGAACATATGAGTTGATCTTGGGGTCATGGGTTTGAGGTCCCACACTGGACATGGAGACTTGGGGAAAACCCTGCGGGAAAAAAGTTTTTGGTGATTCATGCACTTTCCCCTGTCATGATTCGTTGAACACAATTTTTAAAATCCCTGATCCACAGAAGGCTGGGAGGCAATCTAGATCAGCCTGCTAGGAACCTCTGCTTCACCCTGAAGCCCTCTTCTCTGCAGGGAATATCACCTCCATTACCATGGGTTCCCCTGAGG